CGCATCAAAAACGCATACAAATGCAGTGGAACCCACCTGAAAGCCCATTTTAAACAAAAAAAGCCCTGGAACGTGGCAAAAACGAAGCAAAACGCAATGCCCTGCGTTACAGATCTGGTCCGGAAAATGGTGTGAACCTGCCCGGAATGTTCCATAACTAGAATCTTCTCTCCTCTTCTCAAAGGACATAGAACATTTTCTCCCACACTCCAAAGATATGTTGGTAGTTTAACTGGCTCCTATCTAAATTGGCCCTGTATGTGTGTGAGATACGGACCTTAGATTGTAGTCTCCTTGAGGGCAGGGCTATATAAATACCCATAACAAATCAATAAAAGCCAAACTATGTGACTACTATCACAACTTTTAGGGCTTACTGTGTGAGCTAATTGGTATATTAGAAGTGTGTAATAGTCCCTTCTTCCACACAGGGGCAGTTATAGCCGCGTCACCAACATCTCCCAGCTGGACCTTCTGAAGGGTGTCACACTGCACAGGTGAGTCTTCTGGGTGCTGGAGGGTAACCTTCCCTAATGCTAGCCATACACATTGCTGTTTTGATTTGTTCAGTTAGCCTGGTCACCAAATGTTAAACAATTTCAGTAGAAATGAATTGAAAATGCTTTTCTGAGTAACATTGCAGAGGCTTCAATCGATTCCCTGCATAGCTAATATAATAGCTTTCCGTGCATGCAGCTGTGGTTACTCCTGCATTGTAAAAGGTAGGCCCATCCAGCATGGCAAACAATAGGGTATAAAATACTCCACTCCTGGGCTTCATTTTACCTTTCTGACAGTTCAACAGACTGTTTTGCAAGAGTTTGAGAGATGGAACAAATTATGTGCCATGTTGTAAACTGAGAGAAAAGGTTGTGCTGGACCAGCCCGTCCTGATGTGTGTATTTTATTGTGCTCCACTGTCATGGGTTTGGTGTCTCCACCCACTGCTCCCCTATTGGTTCAGACGGCGAACGAAAATACCAAACTAAAAATAAACGAGGGCACAAAATGTAATCTGTATATAACCTGTGGGTACACGTTGATATCCGGAGCGTGCCTGTGATACCAAGTCACAATGGACTAATTCTAAAACATATGCATTTAAAGCACATGGAGAATTAGTGTGATACCATATTAGTGTTATTGGCACGTTATACATAAAAGGTCATGTATGGGGAAGAAAAGCAGAGTGGAAAAAAGGAAACACTCAATGTGTGTAAAACATACAATGCGTTTAAAAAACCCAAGATGTGTTACAACACCCGAGGGGTAATGAAATGAAAATAAATATGTCATAATATGAACACATGTCTATGTGGAGGATGACAGATACGCAGTAGAGTATATAGAACAAAAAGGCTATCGTTCAGGCAGAAAACATGATAGGGCGAGGTTGGTATTAAGTCCCCTAGGGATAACGTTGTCAAGTCTAGGAATCCAACGTGCCTCACACTGAAGAAGCAGCTTATTATGATCACCCCCCCTGGGGGAGGGAGAACCTGGTCAATCACCATGCCCCTAAGTCCGTGTGTCTGGTGTTTTAATTTTGCAAAATGTGTTGCTACATGTTTGTTGGTGTCTAGGTGTTCACCTTTGCTGGTTTTACCAAGAGTGATCCTGATGTCACTTCTATGTTTCTAAAGCGACTCTTGAAAGGGCCCATGGTCTTCCCGATGTGAGACCACAATGGCATTTTAAAAGATAAATGCAGGACTCTGTGTTGCAGTTCATGTATCTATTTATGTTTCTACTGTACGGTCGCACGTCTTTTGTCTTCCGAGCACGCTTGAAAACCTGCCGAAAATCGTAGGATTTTCGGCGGTTTAGTGCTCAGAGAGGCAAATGCTGAGCGGGCCAGTGTGTGCAAGCGCACACTGCCCGTTATGCATTGGAATCATTAGAAGCCCTCCACTGAGCAGAGAGGGCTTGCGATGATCACAAGTACGATCTGCCTGTCCAAGATGGGCAGATCGTACGAGATTTTAATTACCTTACAACCATCGCACAATGAAAGTTGTGCGATGGTTGTAAGGTGTATGGGCACCTTTTACACTAGCTATAAAATCAGCAGCCATAGCAGCAAATGTTCCTTCACAGGTGTTGGGTATTCCTAATTCTGGTCCCATTTAGGCCTGGTTCACACCTAGGAGATTGCATTTTTGAACTGTTTTCGCGATCACTGAAATTACAGGTGGTGCCGCATCCGGCTTTTGACAACTAAGTTAGGTTACACAGCAGTGCCATTGGTCCAAGCTGTCCAATCAAAAAAAAGAAAAAACCAAACACTGAGGACATCAATCTCGATGCCTCACTGGTGACCAGCAACTGAGGGGCAGGGAGGCTCCTCCCTACTCCACACAGCTCAGTGACCGGGTTGAGGGCGGGATGGAGGCAGGCATGGCTGAGGCATGGACGGGGGTGGGGCATGGGCAGGGAGGAGGCGGGCTGTGTGCGGGGCGGTGGCGGGCAGGGGAAATGCCTCACCGAGTACGGACTCCACTGCACAGCACTTTTTCACAGATGCCTAACAGCTCCTCCCCTCTCTCTGGTCTCACACACCCCAACCCCTCCTTTTACCAGCCGCCTTTTATAATGGCTTTCCTGCCTTCCTCAAGACTCCTAGATCCTTTCATGAATAATAAAGTTTCCAGAATCTTCCCTTCTGAAAAGCTCACAGCTGGAGGGCCTATTCACACCACATTCAGATCATCTCCAGACCAGATTGTTTCCAGACCCAAAATGCATCCTAATGTATCCCTGTGCTATTTCTGGCCTCTGTTCACACCAGCGCAGTCCATTCCAGACCAGACAAATACTGCTTGTTTCATTTTGTCTGGTCTGAAACGCATCAAAAACGCATACAAATGCAGTGGAACCCACCTGAAAGCCCATTTTAAACAAAAAAAGCCCTGGAACGTGGCAAAAACGAAGCAAAACGCAATGCCCTGCGTTACAGATCTGGTCCGGAAAATGGTGTGAACCTGCCCGGAATGTTCCATAACTAGAATCTTCTCTCCTCTTCTCAAAGGACATAGAACATTTTCTCCCACACTCCAAAGATATGTTGGTAGTTTAACTGGCTCCTATCTAAATTGGCCCTGTATGTGTGTGAGATACGGACCTTAGATTGTAGTCTCCTTGAGGGCAGGGCTATATAAATACCCATAACAAATCAATAAAAGCCAAACTATGTGACTACTATCACAACTTTTAGGGCTTACTGTGTGAGCTAATTGGTATATTAGAAGTGTGTAATAGTCCCTTCTTCCACACAGGGGCAGTTATAGCCGCGTCACCAACATCTCCCAGCTGGACCTTCTGAAGGGTGTCACACTGCACAGGTGAGTCTTCTGGGTGCTGGAGGGTAACCTTCCCTAATGCTAGCCATACACATTGCTGTTTTGATTTGTTCAGTTAGCCTGGTCACCAAATGTTAAACAATTTCAGTAGAAATGAATTGAAAATGCTTTTCTGAGTAACATTGCAGAGGCTTCAATCGATTCCCTGCATAGCTAATATAATAGCTTTCCGTGCATGCAGCTGTGGTTACTCCTGCATTGTAAAAGGTAGGCCCATCCAGCATGGCAAACAATAGGGTATAAAATACTCCACTCCTGGGCTTCATTTTACCTTTCTGACAGTTTGGGTGTGTTTGATTTTGTTTGCACAATCGATGTATCCATATTCCCCATCTCTAACTTGGCAGAAGGGCTTGCTGTTGTAGTGTCTCTAAGAATATAATTCCCGTTTCTGACTCACTGATATAGAGTCCCTAGTACTATCACTCCTGTTTCTAACTCACCGGTGTAGTGTCCTGAAAAATATACATCACCATTTGTTACTTGCTGTTGTAGTGTTGCTAGGAATATATACCCCAACTTCTGATTGGCAGTGTGGTGTCCCTAATACATTGGTCTAATTTTACTCAATAGTGTAATATAACCCCTCCCCCCCCCCCCCAC